AGGAGTTTCTCTTACATTGTTCAGGACAGGAAGGCAGAGGAGGCCCGCAGACAGCAGGGTCCTGTTGCAGCCACTGCTCCTGCGTTGATGAAACAGGCTGCTTGGATGCTGCTGCCTCAGGGAGGGCACAGGAGGCCCCGGGGTAGCGTTTACCCTGGGCCACCACTGAGGAATGGTGGTCCAAGTGGACCACGTGCTCTCATGTCAATGCAGATGTCAAATAAAAATCAGAGTCTTTTCTCTCTCTTTTAAATATATTTTTGTTTTTATTTATTTGTTTTGGGGGGAGGTAATTAGGTTTATTTATTTTTTTGATGGAGGTACCAGGGATTGAGCCCAAGACCTCATGCATGCTAAGCATGCGCTCTACTCCTGAAAATCAGAGTATTTTCTTACTGGGAGATGACTTGGAATTTAAAAAGTCTCTATGCCGCCCCCCACCCCACCCCAGTCCATCTTCTATTCATCCTTAGGATTCCACCTCTTGTCACTTTGACCCTGAAGGTGTACCAAAGTGTAGCCATAGTCCTATGCCCTGCTTTGTGTGTCCGAGTGTCATCTGGTGTACGGTGTCATCACCCGTTTGTCTGTGGGCAGAATGGGGGGACTGTTGGATCAGGAATTGAGAGCCTCTGAGTGTCACATTGGGCTTACCCTCCCAGGGCCTCAGTCTTCCCATCTGTGAAATGGGGCCATCTCTGTGGTCCTTTCCCACAGCCCTCTCTGTGAGGTCAGAGGACAGCAGGCATCCTTCACGTTTAACCGGGCCAGCGGCCATGTCCCCAGAGTGACCAGGCTGTCCTGTCCTCTTCTCTCATGAGAGAAGCTTAAGGCACTCGAGGAGCTTAAGGAGCAGGCCCCCATGTGGGATTGGCACTGCTGAGATGGGTGAGGTGGGTCCTGAGAAGGACTCAGACGGGGCTGGGAGGAGGAGGGAGCAGGCAATAGCTGTCATAAATGCCACGTCACAGCTGAGATGAATGTCACTTGGCCGTGTCCCACTTGCGGTCGGATCACCCGCCTTCTGACCACTTGCCCGTCATGGGAACCTTGTCTTCCCGACCCATGCCTGATGCGGGGGGACAGCTGGGCAGGGGGCAGCACAGCGTGAGTCAGACAGACAGGAGTGACCCCCTGGGGCCTCTGACAAGGAGGGGCCTGGAAAAGGGACAGCTCAGAGACTCAGTGAGATGCACCGTAGCTGCCCCTGTGTTCCCAGCAGAGGCCCTCGGCGTGTGGACTGGTCACCCCCAACCTTTACAGAAGCTGTGTTCCACCTCAGAGCCTTAGGTGGGCTCCCCAAATACAGCAGCAGCAAATGCTAGAAATCACTGGTGGGCAGACTTCTATAACGTCCACCTGTGACGTGTTTTGGATTTGGGGTCCAGAGGGTCTCTGTAACAACTCTTCCACATGGTCATCGTAGTATGAAGGCACTTCTGGGCAGCAGGTGAGTGGCTGTGCCCCAGTAAAGTTCTATTTATAAAAACAGGAGGAGTTTTAAAAAATCACTTTTATTTTTATTTATTTTTTGGTGGTGGGGGGAATTAGGCTTATTTATTATTTATTTGTTTATTTATTATAACTATTTTTAATGGAGGTACTGGGGGGTCAAACCCAGGACCTCGTGCATGCTAAGCTTGTGCTCTACCGCTGAGCTATACCCTCCCTGCCCCAAAAGGATTGAAATCCGGTTCACGGACAGATACCTGTACACCCAGGCTCACAGCAGTGTTATTCACAATAGCCAAAAGGTGGAAGCAACCTGGGGATGAATAGATAAACAAGATGTGGTATAGACACACCATGGAATGTTATTCAGCCTTAAAAAAGAAGGACATTTTGGGTGGAGGGTTTAGGTCAGTGGTAGAGCGCATGCTTAGCCTTGCACGAGGTCCTGGGTTCGATCCCCAGTCTCTCCATTAAATAAATAATAAAAGAAAATAAATAAAAGCACAATTACCCCCCTTCAACGCCCCCCCCAAATTAAAATAAAAAAACAGGGATGAATGTAGACCGGATTTGGCCCATGGGCCATAGTTTGCCAATCTTTGCTCTGAGTGGGTTAGTCTTTTACTAACCACACAGCACATCCACAGGCTCTGGAGGGGACACTTTGGGGGTCACATCAATCCAGGCTGCAGACAGGTCAGGGCCTGTCACCGCGTCCGGAGTCCCTCCCGAAGGCCTAGGCCCTTCCTCCCACCTTTCCTTTCTTTTCTTATCCTCACAGCAGCCCCAGCCTCAGCAACCCTTTATATCCTCGCCCTGAATCTGACTGTCTGATCTGTGTTTGCCTGACTCTCCAATCTTTGGTGGCGGGGAAGAGGGTGGCTGGCTGCTCCCCACACCCTCAGCCCCACCCTGTGAGGACCTGCAGGGTGGTGGAGGCTCACGGAGTCTCAGAGAGACTCAGATTTCTGAGCAGCCAGTGACCCGGCTCTCTCCTCTTTTCTCCTGAGTCAGACTCCAGCTTCTTCTGCAGCCGCCTGGGGAGAGCAGGAGAGTGGACCTGACTGGGGTCCCCTTCTCCGCTGCATCAGGAGTGGCCCTCCCCAGACCCTTAGCCTCCATGCTGGGCTGGATATATGTCTCCAAACAGGGTGACAGTGGCCACTGCTGACCTGGGGGCCAGTTTGTCTGGTTAGCACTCTGGGAATTGTCTGTTCATCCCTTGAATTGCTCAAAGAGAAGGGCTGCATTGATTCAGACCCTCTGAGCCATTGCAAAGGATGGGGTTGGATGGGAGCAGAGGCAGGGGGCCGAATGGCCTTGGGACTGGCCTTTGAAGAGAGGCTTGGCTGCCTCTGGCCTGGCTTGGCTGCCCTAAGGCCTGTTGCAGCCCTGAATGGCTTCCAGGGCCACTTTGGGGTCAGCAGCTCTGCTATGAATCCATCTCTGCCAGCCAATTTGATTCATTTCTCCGTTTCTCCATGTCCCCGAGCAGGAATTGACTTGAATGCCCAGAGTGAAAAGACCGAAAGCTGTGAAACATCCCCAGGGATGGTGGCAGCTTATAAGCAAACACGCTAATTAAATATTGCTGTAAGTGAAGGCACTGTTACCGCTTCTGTTTCTAAATCCCAGCTCTGGCTACAGGAGGTGCCCTTGGACATACGGAACAATTAACTTTGCTGAAGATGGGAGCAAGGTGACTGTCTGCTGTAGGAAGAGAAATACAAGTGCTTTTGCTCAAAGGAGGCCAGAAATAATGAGGTTGATGATGGTGGAAAAATATCTTGCGGTAGAAAGTGAACTGAGAGTCATAATTGCAGAAAACCACTTATAGGGCACCTCCTACCTGCCAGGCTGTCTACTAGCTCTTCATATATGTGCATAAATGAAATAGTCTTGGGGCTGCCCTTCAGGGTAGTGGTTAGTTTTCTCACATGGAAACTAAGACTCAGAGAGGATCTTCAGCCTGGGTCATCCAGCAGGAAGATTGAGCTGGGATGCATCCCAGACCGAGTGAAGGGATGGAGGAACCTTGGAGAGGAGCCATGGGGAGAACCCCAGCCCCCCAGTACCAGGCAGAGTTTGTTGCATATCCACCAGGTTCTAGGCATTGAACTAGGCACCATACAGGTGATACCTATTAACCCTCACAACTGTCACAGTATTTGGTGTTCTGTGGTTGTAAGCAACAGAAACACACTGGAGCAAGCATAAGTGAACAAGAAGGATGGATGGGCATCTCCTGAAACTCAAGAGCAGAGGGCAGCCAGACTGCCAGGACTTCTGGAAAGGAGGGCTGAAGGATGTAGTAAAGAGAGCTCTCTCTGTAGACACCTGCTTTATCTTCTTGTGGAAAGATATGAAATGACCACTTAGAATATCCACACCCCTCCAGGTCTCTGCCTGGGCCGATCAACTCTGTTGGGGTCAAAATGGTCACAGACAGAACATCTGTGAGTGGGGAGGGGGTGCAGCAGAAGGGTGCAGTGTACTGGGTGGATGTTAGTCCTACTGAACTCCATGGGATGAGTGGTTTTATCCCCATTTTACGTGTAAGGACCTGAGATCTGCAGGAGGTAATCTTGCCCGAGATCACACGGTCATTGGCAGTGAGGGGAGTGGGAGGGGTGTGAACCCAGGCTCACAGTCACCATCTCTATCTGCTCGAGAGATCACTGAGTCTGAAACTCACCCTTCAGTCAGAGGCTGGAACAGAAACCAGGATGGTGTCACCTGAGAAGGGCAGTTGGAGAGTCTGTCTTGTATTCAGTCCATCTTGTTTTAGAAAGCTTTCAAGGAAGGAGACCAGCGAGCTGTTTTCAGTAACCAGTGAATGTTAGAACAAGCAGCAGGCCTTCTAAGAGCAGTGTCCAGATGCCCTAGGGTCGTGGGTGCTGCAGGGAGGGTCAGCCCATCCAAGGGCCCCATTCTTCCCTTCCCTGCGGCCCCTCCAGCCCTCAGGCTGAAATCTGTCCTGACAAACAACCCCTGGCAGAAAACTGGACACCCTGGGGGCTCAAGTGTTCGCAGCTGACCTTTGCACAATCCTCGAGCAGATGCAGCCGCATGTTTTCCTTGGCTCCCTTCTTGAGAGGGACGTTCGTTCTTGGATATTCCAGTTTACCCGTGGGGTGGAAAGGATGGAGTTTGTTTACACATAAATATTTCAGTGTAGACCTGACTTGACACTCACTTAGCTACTTCAGGGATGCTTGACCCTGGATGAACATTCATTCATGTCTAAAACACTTGGCCAAGATAACACAAGCTTTAAATGAGATGAACTCACCACATGCTTTGGGGTGGGAGGAGTGTGCTTCCTGGGAAGCATTACCTAGTGGTGTTTATCCAGAAAGGGGGTATCTCAGTTAATCTTCATACTCTCAAATGTGACCTCTGTGCCGGGATCGGAGTGGGACAGCGCAGTCGGGGGCATGTTTCCCCTGGGAGCAGGACGAGCCTCTTGGAGAAAGGGGAGATTTTTGTGGAATGCAGGATTATGTAAGACTGTTTTAACTGAGAATATCCTGCTTCTTGTTTTGCAGATTGGGAACCTGGAAGATTACTACCATTTTTACCATAGCAAAACCTTTAAGAGATCGACCTTGGGTAGCAGGGGCCCTCACACCTTCCTCAGGATGGACCCCCAGGTACGGATCTCTGTTCTGTGCACACGATGCTGTCTTGGGGCCCCTGAAGTGCTGTTTGCTTATTGCTTTGATCTGTGGTTCTAAAAATGGCCAAGTCTGGATTTTAATGTGATTCTAGATCACCATTAGTTTTCCCTATCCACTTTGAATAAACCAAAACCGACATGTAGCTACGTATCAGACCAGCTAAAGGCTCCAAATATTTGGGTCCCTTAGGAGACTTGAGAATTTAAATTCCTTAAAAAAATTTTTTTAGCTGAAGTATAGTCAGTTTACAATGTTGTGTCAATTTCTGGTGTACAGCATAATAGTTCAGTCATGTGTATACATACATATATTCATTTTCATATTCTTTTTCATTATAGGTTACTACAAGGTGTTGAATATAGTTCCCTGTGCTGTGCAGTATAAGCTTGTTGTTTATCTATTTTATATATAGTCATTATTACCTGCAAATCTCGAACCCCCAATTTATCCCTTCCACACCCTTTCCACTTCACCCCACCAGTAACCATAAGTTTGTTTTCTATGCCTGTGAGTCTGTTTCTGTTTTGTAAATACATTCGTCTTTTCTTTAAATTCAATATATGAGTGATACCATATGGTATTTTTCTTTCTCTTTCTGACTTACTTCACTTAGAATGACGATCTCCAGATCCATCCATGTTGCTGAAATAAATGACATTATTTCATTCATTTTTATGGCTAAGTAGTATTCCATTGTGTAAATATATCACAATTTCTTTATCCAGTTATCTGTCAATGGATCACCTTCTCTTAAAAGCAATGTGCTGAGTGTTGGTTTGGGCTCCCAAGCTGGCGTATGTTACCATGTCAGCTGTCTCTAGCGAACACTGATCACCAGAGTTCCTATGGAGAAATCAGTCTTGGTGTTGTCCCAAGCCACCCCACTGACAACCGTGGCTCTTTTGGGGTTGACTGAGCTGAGGGTGGTGAGAGAGATGGTTTATCCCTGGGCACTGTACCTGAAACACCCTTCTCCAGGGCATCGCTCTGTGGTGTTCTGATTCCAAGCACATGAGGAAGTGGTCCCATGGAACACATTCCTGCAGTTGGGGTGTGAGAAGGTGGACATGTAGTACCTGTATTTCTGAATTCTTTTTATAGGTGGGTGGAAGGATGGATAGATGGGAGGGTGGATGGGTGGACAGATAGAAGGAGACATATATAAAGCATTATGCTAATCCCATTCTCCCTTCTTGGCAGGAAAAGGAATTTCATGTTTATCAAGGGATTACTATGTACTTGGGCACTTTATCTGGGGGGGTAATTAGGTTTATTTATTTATTTTTAATGGAGATACTGGGAATTGAAGCCAGGACCTCGTGCATTCTAAGTACACACTCTACCCCTGAGCTATACCCACCCACCCCCCTTGCTTGGGCACGTTAACATGAATTATACGGGGCTATGATTATACCTGTGTGTGCTCACACCGTGGAGCTGGGAGGAATGGTTTTCAAGGGGGCTGGTGCATGTTTTTGCTCTTAGAAGCAAAGCCAGATGGTAGTAGCTCATTCCCACGGAACCACTGAGGCCACTGAAGATGAGTGAGCAGATCTGATGCGGGTCTCCCTGCACAGCTGAGTGCAAGGGATGCTCTGTGCGGAGTGCACAGACCTATCACCAAAGAGACATGAGTTCTGTGTGGCTGGAGGAGAGGCTGAGGTCCCCAGTGGTCCACCACCACCTGTCAAAGTGTGGAGACGTTTCTAGGCTTGCAAGGAAGTTGCTGCTGGGCCCCTCCACAATTTTGCGTTGAGCAAGCAGTTACCTGTCTTGTGAGGTCAGAGGTCTCTGGAGTCCTTAAATTGTTCCCACAGAGGTAGTTACAGCAAGGGGCCTGTTGTTGGCATTGGGGAGCCCCAGTCCCCCCACACCGGCATGTGCTGAGGAGATAATGGGATGATGGGTTCCTTGGTCCCGTTTCCCTAGGGATTTCTAAGGATTAAGCTATTTCTCAGCGGTTAGAACTGCCTCACAGTTGAAACAGGAGACTCAGCCTGTGTTTTGTGGACATCCACTTCTTTTGTGTGACTAAATTTTAAAACTTTTAAAGATACTCCACTCAGCTGCTCTCCCCTTCCTTCCGAAACATTAATTAATTGTGCACCTGCTGGGTGTGACGCAGAGATGCCCACCCAGCGGGTCTCTGCCCCGGGTGAGCCACCAGCAGATGTGAGATCATATGCGGGAGGTGGCGGAGGGGGATTCAGGGCGGGCCCCAGATGGCTTCCTCTGCAGTATCTGAGATGATGGGCTTCCTCATCTTCCGTGCGTTCAAAGGACTCCATCCAGTTCGGGTCTACGGGCCAAATATTCCCAGTAATCAGTTATGTCCTTGAAGGAGCGAGAAAGAGGCAGAGACTTATTCAGCAAAGGCTATGGCAGTTAAGTTTTTTTCAAATCAAAATCCCTTTTATTCAGAGCTTCTTAATAAGCTCCTGGCAGGACCGCTATGGAAGCATCCTGCCAACGAAGAAGAAAGAGAGAAAAGGTAAACAGCCCGCAGACTCCAGCCCTGCCTGCAACTCCCACGTGATTGGCTGACCCGTTCTCACAGTCCTAATTGTCTAGCCCCAGGGACAGCATACAGACATCGGAGCCAATGATGAATTCAGAATGCCTCTGTTTAAATCAGTCTAGTTTTAATGCAAACCAAATCAATGAGCTGTCAGTCTGAGTAATATTTCCTTTACCTAGTCCTGCCGATGAAATATTGGGCAAAATTAGCTCTTTCACGGAAGTGTTGAGTGTTATCTTCTCTGGCAGGGCACCGGCACGCTGTCTCACATGAGCCTAGCGTTTCTGGGACCTTAGTGATCAGAGAGTCGTGTGATGAATATTATTAAGAAAGGGAAAAGATGAGTTCATGTGAGTCAGAGACATTGGAATGCCGTCCCTGTTGTGTTTTGAATGAACAAACTGGAAATGAATGTTGCGGGGCTTGGGGTAAAGTTCAGTCGGAGGCAGATGGTATTTTATTTTAATTAGCTCCAGTCCTTATTGTCTACAATTGCTTTGATAAGTGATGGAATTTACCACCCAGCCCCACTTCGCGTGAGTGCACGTTGGTTAAAACAAAACGGAACAGCGCCCTTGCAGGAGGGAAGATCTAAGGCTGCGTTAGTCATACACGCACCTCTTTTCTTTAATTTGTTGAGCATCTCTGCTCAAGGATCCTGTACCAGAATCATGCATTCATTTTCCTCACAGTCTTGATCACCTTGTTTTTTGTTTGTTTGTTTGTTTGGTGGGGGAGGTAATTAGGTTTGTTTGTTTGTTTGTTTGTTTGTTTATTGGAGGTACTGGGGATTGAACCCAGGACCTCATGCATGTTAAGCATGCGCTCTGCCCCCGAGCTGTACCCTTCCCCCTTGACTTGATGTGTTTAACCCCCTTTGAAAAGGGCCCTTTTGCTCAAAGTGCTTCGTTGACCAGCCCTCTCCTCTGGAGGACAGCCCAACTGTTCTCAGGGTGCTGGGTCCCTCCCTGGGCTCTTCCAAGGGCTGTCATTTAAGCAAACTGAAAGCATTTGTTTTTAACTTGTTCTTTCGCCAAAAGTCTGGAGGAGGGTGGACGTTACAGAAGCGTCGGCCAATAGCTGCGATTGCTCGCAAATTTTCTTAAAATGACGCGTTCTGATTGTGTTCCAAGCTGGCTTAGAGTTCGACATTGCTGTCTGCGTCTTCCAGCCCTTACATTTTAGAGCGATGACTCTGGTCCAGCCCTTCTCTTCCCTCAGTGCTCGGCTAGACTAATGACGGAAAACGGAGGATGAAGATGTTATTAGGGGGGCCCTCACTGGCTCCTTCCCGGACGGTGGGAGGCTTCAGTCTGCTGCTTCATTTCGGTGCTTTCACACTCAGAAGCTGGAAAATGATTTCCAGGACCTGAGTAGGCATTCTGTTTTGGAGGCTGGGACTTTGCCCCCAGAGTTTAATCAAAGCTCAGGTTTCTTTCCAGCAGTGATGCAACGTTTAAGCAGATCTTTCCATTAACCACAGATGGAATTTTATCTGTCAGTTTTGTGTGCTTGAGCCATTCAGAGTGCAAATAAACAAAAAGTTCCTGGCAAATGCAGGCACATAGACAGTAAGTGACCACATTGATCTTGGGGTTGATGAACTGTGGGATGGGCTGAGGGTAGGGGCCTGGTGGATTTACCCACGTGGGAACAGGAGAGATCTCCAGCACAACCCAGCTGGGTCTGGTAGAATGGCTACTATGAGTTGGTAAAAAGCTAGAATTTTAAAGTAAACTTTAAGAGATGGTGCTTTACTGTTTCACAGTTACCACTCGACAGTCCCACATAGATCCTCAAAGATGTCTCAGAGTCAACCCATCCTGACTATAATTTGAAAAGATACATGCACCCCAATGTTCATAGCAGCACTATTTACAATAGCCAAGTCATGGAAACAACCTAAATGTCCATCAACAGATGAGTGGATAAAGAGGCTGTGGTATATTTATACAATGGAATACTACTCAGCCATAAAAATGAAATAATGCCATTTACAGCAATATAGATAGACCTGGAGATTGTCATTCTAAGTAAAGTAAGCCAGAAAGAGAAAGAAAACTACCATATGATACACTTATATGTGGAATCAAAAAAAAGAGACACAAATGAACTCATTTACAAATTAGAAACAGATTCATAGACATAGAAAACAAACTTACGGTTACCAGAAGGGAGAGGGTATGGAAAGGGATAAATTGGGAGTTCGAGATTTGCAGATACTAACCATTGTATATAAAATAGATAAACAACAAGTTTCTTCTGTACAGCACAGGGAACTCTATTCAATATCTTGTAGTAACCTCTAATGAAAAAGAATGTGAAAAGGAATATATGTATGTGTATGTAGGACTGAAATGTGATGCTGTACACTAGACATTGACACATTGTAAACTGACTATACTTCAATTTAAAAAAAAAATTGTACAACCGCCTGGGGAAGAAAAAGAATTCT